GTTGTAGGTTGTCATTTCCTCTGCATGTTTGTGTGTCACCAACCTCAGTCCGTGTCTCCTCCCAGCTTTCCAGCAGCAACCTCTGAATGTTTATAACCATAAATCAACCCCAGTTTTGTTTTTCTGTGTCTTGTTTATGTAGGTGCATCTTTAAAAACTACTAAACACTGTCAGTGATTTTTCTGGCTTGACTATAAGCTTTCACCCTCTCTGTTTTACCCCACTGGCCTAGCCGTGTTGAGTTAATGGGAGGCTACCATGAATATACAGATGTGAAAAGCTGCCAGGACGTCATACACCTCTACCACCTCTTGTGGTCGGCTACGATCCTCAACATCGTGGCCCTCTTCCTGGGCATCATTACTGCAGCAGTGCTGGGAGGCTTCAAAGACATGGTGCGTGCACTGAACGAGCATGTCAGATTTATCAGTAGCCGCTTCTCTGTAATCGCAGCTCTCTAACTGTTACATCAATGCACTCTGTTGCTTCATCAGACACCTGCTCCTGCCTCAGAGAGCACATCTGAACCAGAGGCCATCACAGCTCCAGTCCCTTCAGAGATTCCCCCGCCCGTCACGTCTCTCAACCCATATTACAACACCGCCCCCTGCCTGCCACCGTACTCGGCCTACGACCTGCAGGTATGCAGCTGCTTTAAAGGTGCAGTTGAGAAGTGTGTGCTTCTAATTATTTATGGACAACAGTCAAGCTCTTTATCAGGAAATTTGTGTTAGTAGGATCTAATGACGATTGTTTCTAGGGTTACCAATTGGATCCATATAAAGTATCTCATGGTCCTCACGCATTTGATGCCAGCATACAATAGCTCAAAGCATATATATATTGTAATAAATGTTTTCCTTTATTCGCAGGGCTCCTATGTGTTCCCTGACTCTTCAGGCCTGTCAGACGATTCCCAGTCTGGAGCCAGCCACCTCTGGCCTACAATGATCCCTCCACGCTACTCCCCTCCTCACAACCTTCCAGATGAGAAGCCCCCACCATACAGCCCGTAAGACAGCTGCGAGAAAAGGAAACACCTGAAACATCATCGGGTGTTTGCACAGTTCCTCTGGACTTTTCTTCATAATCCTTCAGAAGAGTGTTGAAGAAAAAGAGGCGAGGAAGGGGAGGAGAGCCACAGAGCACACTAACTTTGACTTCAGCCCAAGGCGAGGGAGAAAGCATTCGTCTCCCCGGGCACCGCTCACACTCTTCTGGCCTGCACTGTGTGTGTTTGTGCACATGCACATCGAGAGAGACAACCTGGTCAAAGCCAGGACTGTTTACACATCTATCTGCCTTATGCAACGTAAACAGACTTCCAGTGTTAGATGTATTCTGTAAAAGGACAAAACGACAGAGCTCATGCTTTACATTCACCTCTCTTTTGCAGAAACTGTAAATGCTTCCTCCATCAAGATGGAGATCCCGTCCTCACTGGGAGGATGAGTACAGCTACATGTGCAAGGTCGACGTTGAGCTAGGTGAAAGCTTTGGCATATTTCTTAAAATCTGAATCAGCTAGATAATTCCAAACTTAAAAATTGTAGGCCCGGGCGTTTGTTTCTGTAGCAGTCAATAGTGTCCCTGTGCATTATTACAGGCAGAGTTAGCAGAACTGGAGGTATTACATGCTCATAATGTATGTGCAGCAGTATAATATGCAGTTAGGCCTAGCATATACAAACAGACCAAGATTCCTATTTATCAAATCTTCACGTTATGTTTAAGAATATCCTGATCAGTGTGTGGCAAACTTTGCAGAGCAGCATTAATGAAGAAATAAGCTATTGTACCTACAGTAGTTGTTGAGGATAATCAGATACCAGTTACACTCCAAACCTCATTTACTGTGTTTCCACTAACAGCAGCAAAGCAGGTAAGCATCATATATGTGTCTCTCTCTTTGTCAAGTAGCAGTAGTAGCACGTTTGTGTCAGAAGGGTCATTCCATATAAAATCAGTCAAACCTGATCCACCGAATCTGCTGAGGGTTTGTTGTGCAGACAAAGAAAAATAAGTGAAATCCATCTTCAAGAAGCAAAAAAGGTCCAGCGTGATCATTTCAGTAGATTAGACAGAATCTAAAATTATCAGACACCTACCAAAGGCTGCAACTTCACAGGTGTTATACAACACTAGATGTCAGTTTTCAAACATAAGGAATCACGGCTAGAGGCTGAGGCTGAGAACTAAATGGAGGGAAAAATGAAACGTTTCATAAGCTATTACCTGTTTGAAATCCTACAAAGTGATATGACCATTTAAAAGTTACCCACAATGCATTTTTGAGGTTTTCTCCAACGAATTCTCAGAAAACATCCAGGATACCAACAACACTTGTTTCTGTTCCTCGCGTGCAATTTGGACTGGAGCTATCACATGATACTGATTAGGTATATTGATTATAAAGAAATAGATCAGACCAAAAATGTAAATTTAGCTTTGGATCCTGTACTGAAATTTCACCTGGTTAGCTCCAGTACTTAAGAAGTGAAATAATAAGCCCATCTAAGAATACAAATGTGAGTGTGGCCATCATTAAAGCCTGTGGTCAATAGCAATCAGTTTGCAAGTTTAAGTCTACTTGAATTCATTTACACAAAACCAAACACTCAGCAGTTAATGGTTATAGATAGAAACGTGTGGCATACAGTAACCAATTAATATACACATTAAAATGTTTATAGATTATTGTAATATGCACAACTAAAATAATTGAATTGGCAGATTCATAAAATCTAATTTAATCTTCTAGGACAGACTGCTTGCAGATACAATGACCAATAAGCCTCCATGCCTGCACGCCATTTTCAGTCTCTATTAGCCTTCCCACATAACAAAATCCCCAGCACATGACACATATGCTGACATTCATGTATATATATTTTTTGTTGTTGAGTTTTTAGTGGCTCAGCACCCGTTAATCCGATTTTTCGTTCACTTAAAAAGCGCCAGTTTTTCGACCTGCCCTCATGTACGTTAATCTGAACATTTTATAGTACAAAGGAAACATTTCCCCTGAAGTTATTGTGCACATTAAACTATCCTCTTCTTAAGGGGTTCAGGTTGGAGCCTCACTCTGGTTTTTCTTTTTCTATGGAATGACCCAGGAGTTTGTGAGGCTCAGTGTGAACAGTCAGTGCTGGATTCGCTGATATGAAACCTCGTCAATGTCCAAGAAAGCAGTCACTGTCAGCTTTGATCACGGCTTTTCCAAATTTAAACTGCACATTCTTCTTCGTCGCGTCATTAAAACTTGTTTTATGTAACTCACATAGTGCTGTTTCTTTTTTTATCTACTCGGTGTTGGTTACCTCTCCAGTAGGTCACAGGAGCAAAGGAGGAACTTCTGCCACAGCTTCACCTATTTTGAGGTGCATGGAGTAAGATGTAAAATTTTCAAGAGGTCAAACAACACCGGTAGCACCTCTACTACATATGAGGCAGATTATATTTTTTTTCTGCTTCATACTTCTGTAATTGTATATTTTCTGACGTGATAAAGGAAACCAGCAGTTGTTTTACACACTAATGCTGGAGGTTTGACATCTTTTGCACTATGGTGCTATGTATTCGTGGTTTGCAGGGGATAAAATTACCCCCTGTAATTTTTCATTTTTAGGTCACTGTGAGTTTAGGTCATTGTGAACAACTGCTGAGTGGTTTGCTATTAATTTGGTACACACGTCCCCCATACTGATCAATTGTATTCAGTGCTCTGAACTTAACTTCCTAAAGCGGACGTTACGCTCGGTTCCACCTTTATAGTTGTTAGACGCAACTAGAGCAGCTGTACATGGTTAACACTTCAAAAGATTTGTCTTACAATGTGTGTGACAAACTGAAAAACTAAGCTCACTCTTAATGCTTCCATCAAAATTAAGAGGGTAAGTAGTAAATAATCAGCAAGTCTGGTGAGGTTTTGGCACCTTGCAGGTCTGGAGCATTCAGATGAGTGTTACCATAACGCCACAATCTCCCCAGGATTGGACATCCCAGTAAATTTACCCCAAGGTCAGAGCATGCAATGTTCAGAGAAAGTGCAAAAACCCCGGAGCTACATCTCAGACAGGCCTCATTTAGCATGCTAAATGTTAAAAGTCCAGGACAGTGCAAGGACCTTATAACAGCTGCCAAGCCCGATGGTGGAGTGATGACTTGAGCTCATCTTACAGCCACAGGACCTGGGCACCTTGCAGTCATTGAATCAACCATGAATTTCTCTGTACAGCGTGGTATTCTAATGTAAGGCCATCTGTCTGACAGCTAGAGCTTAGCCCAAATTGGGGAATGCAGCTGGACAATGATCCCAAGCACAGCAGCAAATTTGAATGGCAATGGCCCAGTCAAAGTCCAGACCTCAATGCTGTCGTGGAACCTTAAGAGAGTCGTGAATGTGTGCAAACCTCCATGAAGTGAAGAAACAATAAAAAAGAAAAGGGTAAAATTCCTCCACGATGTGAGAGACTGATAAAGTCATACAGAAAGCGAAAACAAGTTATTGCTGTTAGAGATGGTTCTACGGGCTAATGAAACATGGGGTTTACTTTCTCAAGCAAAACCTTCATGGTTTAAAAAAAAAAAGAAAAAAAAAAGACTGTGGTAAATTTAAATGTTCCCCACTGGTTTTGTTGGAATAAAAATGCTAAATCACACCCCAGAAAACATTTTTACAGGTGAACCAAAAGAAAATAAACCTTTATAACAAGATTTAAAGCCAAAGTCCTCACACAGCTGAGCTGCTAACCTTTCAGTACAAAAACAACAAGTAAATACACTCCCTTTTGAGCAAAACTACAGGATTTATCCATAAAACACTGTAGAATACATGCTACAAACTAGAAATGTGCAGTAGCACAAACAAGAAATAAACAGGCGCTGTTCTGTTTCTATACTGGCAGTGTGACCAATTTAAACTATAAGAAATGTTAACCTGCTGTCAAGAGCCCAAACTGGAGTGTAGCAAGCACAAAAACACACCACACATCACATACTGATGTTAATCTGTTTATTAAAAAGAAACCCTGCACGATGACATGACAAAGTACAGTTTCCCCTGTTAGTACTACTTGTACTAACCAATCACTACCCTCTGACACAGTGAAAAACAGAGCGGAAAAGTTATAACAAAGAGTTTTCTGCCTGAATGCTAAGTGCTACAGCTATTGACTGTAATAAAGCTCAGTTTATTTCCATCCTATCGTCACACGTGTAGGAGAAATCTCCAGCCTTCTATATGTAGCTGGGCAGATTTTGCAATTTTAAATAAAGGGAAGTGACAAAGTAACAGAAATAAAAATAAACATAAACAATGTATTTAAAGGGGAACTATTAAGCTCATTTCCAGCTCCATGCTACAGTGGCTTTGCATGACTCGCGATACAAAATAATCCTTATTTATATACTCACATATCTTATACTGGGCCTTAGTCTGAAACAAGCTGATTAAGCTCCTCCTATATTAAGATTGGGGAGAGCCCCACTGGTGAGACACAGACCCACTGGACTGTGAACGATGAATGAATGAGATCCTTAGATTACATACCGACCCTGTTTAATACGAGCATCCCCTGCTGTAACCGTATATTTTCAAAAATCTTAACAGGTCCCCTTTAACAGACAGAAAGTTTCTTTTCCAGGCTGCTACAAAAATTAAATAACTGCATACCCAGGATGACAAAATACAAATATAATGAAATTCATAATCAACATTCTCTCGCACAGAATGAGATTTAAAAAAGAAACGGGAATGATCGGTCCTGAAAATTCATCATTTCATGTGTAATGTAACCAAAACTGGCTGCACATACACACAATAAGGCTTCATACATCACTTTAAATAGGTAACCCCATTTCCATTTCATTAAACAGGCCTCCGTTTAATGTCATTTCACGATTAAGGGAATGTAGCCTGTTGAAAAAATAAAACTGAAAAACAAAACAGCCGTTTCATTTGTGCTTCAGCTCATTTAGCTGAAATATTCTGGGCAATAAAGATACAGAGCACAGGTTTGAGCCAAGAAGAGCAATTTCTTTTTTTTTTTTTGCCTTTTCATTCATAAAAACTCTTCATTTCTATCATGTTTGAACCGCGTCCATTTCTGTGCTCACCTAATGTAAAAGATCATGGCCATTTTAAAAAAGCAGAGGAACATGAGAGGTACGGTCCCATTACATTGTTCACCATATAACTGAGCGCCACCAGCAAACTAGTACCTGTGTTATCACTACAGTATTAGTCCACTCATTTCAACTGACAGACTAATGAGACCGCACTGTACAGCTGAAACTATTGAGAATTGCGCAAAAATATTGTTGATGTGGAACCGAGGAGAAAGAGGGGCACCTAAAAGGCACATATAATAAAAGGAGTGGTGTCAGCTGTGCTTAGTAGTACTCTGCTGGACCCTGTGGAGGCGTGTTCATAGCTGTCTCCGGTTGTGCACGGCTGTTAGGCGCCATGTGAGCGTCGGGCTCAACGAAAATGTCGTCCCAGTTCAACATCCTGCTTTGGGTGGACGAGTGCATTGCTTCGCCGACTGAGGTTATGTGATGCACGCTGCCGTCCTCCGATATTACTGGGACCCCTGGCCCATCTGTAGTCCACGAGTACGACTTCATCTGCACTGTTTTACACGGAAGCAGGCGGTACAAGTTGTTGCCGCCGTCGTCTTTCTCCTTCCTCCCGCAAGGATCCTGATTGTGAACTTGCTTGCAGTGAGCGGAGAGTAACTGGTAGTTTATAAACATTTCATTGCACAACAAGCACTGGTACCTCCTCTCTCCTGTGTGGTGGATTTCATGTTTAGTTCTGTACTCGGCCAGGGCAAACACCTTGTTGCAATAACGACACGGGTACTTCTTTTCCCACGAATGGGTGTTGAAGTGACGGCGCAGACTTGGCAAACACACGTAGGGCCGCTTACAGACAATGCACACGTAGAAAGTCTTTCCATCCATGATGAGCTCGTAGTGGTCCTCGAGCTCCGTTTTGGTCCTCTTCTTGTTTGGTCCTGCCTTGGGTGACACGGGTGTTTTTTCGAAGGGTTTCAATGGTGTCGCCATAAAAGCTCTCTTCCCTTTATTGGCTTTGGAGCCTCCTTCGCCTGGATCTTCTTTCACCGGGACAATGTCATACGTATTTTCTCCAATATTGGCATACACCTTGCAGCCTGACGAAATAGAGTCGATTTCCGTGGCTGTGCTGAGCGTCACTGTCTTTTTACCCGTTATAGCAGATTTGGGAACATTTGTTTGAAGTGTCGAACTTTCCGATAAATCAGAGAGTCTTATTTTGAAGTCCCCCTGCTGAGATGAAGTAGACACTTGCTTCTTGTGGACTCCCATTATGTCGCTGTTTTCAGGGGGCTGAGAGGCACTCGATGGCTCTGGGGTCAAACTGCTTGTTCTGGCTGGTGTTGTGGGAGCACTTCCTGAGTAAACTCTGGCAGGGGAAGACGAGTTGTTGGAGCTGCTGTCCGGGCTCTGTAGAGGGCTGCTGTCTATTAAAATTGGTTTAGGACAGCTGATGCTGGGAGGATTTGAAGCAGATGGTTTCGAGGGAGTGGTAGCTTTGTCTTTGCATTCTGAAACTGCATGATTTGATTCTACATTTTGGCTTGACGGGACATTTTCTGAATCCATTTTCTCCAAATCAATGACTTCACCACAGCCGACCACTTTGTTCTGACTATCTGTTTTCGAGACAAACAGAACGTCGCTGTCCGAGTCCTCCTCGTTATCCGCAGGCTTGTTTACCTGATTGAACTCCTCCGCAGATATTGAGAAGGACTCTGTGATGATCGGCATCATCTCTGTAGATGAGTCACTTTTGCTTTCTGCCTCCTTAGACAAACCAGGAAGGCCCTTAACTTGTGATAATGGTGAACCCAAGTTTGCAATGAACTTTACTCCCAGTATCTGCCCGGCATTGATGAGCTCTTCGAGCATGTCAGAGCGGACTCTGACAATCTTAGAGCTGTAAATATAGTTGAGAATCTGCTCAAAGATCTCAGGCCTGATGAAGCTTAGTTCAATCACTTGCCCAGCCACGGTAAACAGCTGGTGGAAATACGTACTTGAGGCAGACAGGATAGTTTTGTGAGCTCTGAACTTCCTGTCCTGTATAATGATGGTGATATCGCAAAATAATCCGTGGCTCCGCTGCTCATTCATGTTCTTCAGCACAGCTGCTGAGTACTGTGTGTCGGTCGCAGATATCAGCTTCAGACTCGGCATGTCTACAGAGAAAAAGCAAATCATAATCAAACCTGTGAATGCACAACAACGTGAAGCAAGTAACATTTATTCATATCCAAAGCATTTTTCATAGAGTCAACAATCACTAAGTACTAAATAAAAGGAAATGCACAAAAAAGTTTTTATTTAAAGAAATAGAACTACAATTAAAAAATAAAAGTTAAGTGGCATTAAAAAAAATGAAACTAAGATAAACAAAGTACAGGTTCATTTTTAGATTTAAATTGAATATTCACATTTTGAGTAATTTTTAACTTAATAAGCAACTATATTTGGTCGGTTTTTATTTTATTTTCCTGGTTTCTTACCGTTTTCTTCCTAAATTTTGGGATAAATAAAGTTGATCTTATCATATTATTATATCATGTCTTAATTATAACGTGCCACCATGCAGAGCAATGTGAGTTACACAAGTTATGTCAACAGATAGTAAAAGAGCTGGCTCAAATTCAGTTTTGCCATTTCCTGCATTTCCAGTTCTAACAGGAACATCAAAACAACCCAGAACAATACATGAGGAGGTTCAGCCTGAATCATGGCTCATGTTTTGGTATAGCTAGAGTCATGGTGGTCTAGGAGCTATAGGGCCCTTTTTTTTGGATAGAAACAGTTCACTCATTGGTCAGTCTGTTAACTCAGCATCTGCAGGCGACTGTTTCAACTAATAATAATAAAAATAATAATAAATTGTTTATTGCTTGATAAACTGAATAATGGAAAAAGGAGAGAAAGTGGTTCAATGGGACACTGTATAATATAAAAGAGTATAGTTGAAAAACTAATGTTTAAGCTAACACTTTACACTGCTACTACAATGTCTTCCAAATATTACAAACTAAAGGCATCTTGTTCTTTTTGCTGATTCCATTTGAGGTCACTATGACCCACTCTTACTGTATCCTTGCATCTTCCTGTACTACATTAATGAATCTTCTGTGGTCTTCCTCTTATCCTCCTGCCTGGCAGCTCCACATCCAGCAGTCTTTGTCCAGTATATCCACTAACCTTCCTATGCACAAGTCCCTCTGACATACTAATTTCTAATTATGGCAAAATCTTCCACTCTGCCACCTCCAGCTTGGCCTCCTATATTTTTGTTAGTGGATTTATTTATGCACATAAAAAAATATCTTAATATAGTTCTTGGTATCCAGGGTGGGTTTTTTAGTTTAGCTATTATCGGTTTCAGTGTTACGTTTGTGTCTTTTTTACTCACTGTATTATAGGAGATATACATTTTGGCAGTTTAGATCATGTATTATAATTTCAGTCACAGGCAAGTGAACATCTTCTCCTTAGCAAAGACTAAACCTAAAGTGATCATCTGTATGTTTTTAGTTTAGTTTTTGTTAATTATAACCTTGGACAGCATAATTCCGTTTCTGTGCACACAATGTCAGACATGCTAATTACGTTAGCCTGGCAACAAAAACAAAACCGTCCCTTAGCTGGCGCTAGGTAAACGTTAATTTGCGGGACATTTTTAGCCTCTTGTGACACCAAGGCAGATTGAGGAACATATTAAAAAGACATTAAGGGGGTATTAATGCAACACTGAGAGCGCAATTATTATCTCTACTGAAGCTTTTAAGACATCTATTGCTAACAAAGGTAGTACCGTTTCCTCCTTAATGAATCGCGGCCCGCTGTTTAGCATACTATTAGCATGCCTCTAGTAGAATAGAGGCCAAATCGAAATCCTCTCTAACAGCAGCGTTAAATTGATGAGGTTTACCTGCAAACCTTGATGATTTTGTCAGGAGTGAGCAGGATGGCAGCCGGCGGATATGTTAATGAACGACAAACAATGGCTAACAACAACAGAGAGCCTCACTTTTCATTCTCAGCCACCAGGAGTCGCAGTCGTAAGCGATTATAAGCATTCAAATGCAAACTATGTGGCTTTAAAGTACATTTAAAAACATCGTCCTAGCTTCATATAAATACAAATAAAGCTCAGTTCTGAGGTTATTTCAACTGGAAACTGTTTACTTTTTGCACGCCGGTTAGCAGCGCGATAACTGCCGGTTCACAAGTCTCGCCTTCAAAATAAAAGCTCACAACGGTCACGGGTGAATAAACGGTCAATTGAATAAGTACCTGCAGAATAGCGTTTGAATTCATCCTCTCCTTTTAGGCTGGAAGCCGGCGGTGAAAGGCCGTTGAACTCTCTCTGAAGTTGATCGTACATCATCTTCCTCTTCTGGCCCTGGTATGGGTTATACTTTTCCGCGTGTTTTGCGTCGTAGTGCCTCTTCATATTGAACTCCTTGAATAAAACCTTCTGCTTGCAGATCAGACATGTAGCAGTGGTTTCCAGTTCCGTGAAAAAGTACTCCTTTGCGCATTTCTCCTCCACGGGCTTGCTCACGGGTTCCTGTTTTCTTTTAACTTGAACTATAGAGAGCGACATCTCGACGTGCCGAGCTGCTCTGTTTCTTTGCTGCTAAAAAGACTCAAATTTAGTGAACACGCAGTCCAGTTTCCAGAGATGTTGAGTTGAGCAGTAGGAGACACGACCGTGTGTTGGTCGGTTAAACCTCGGTAGTTCCGGTGGCGCGTGAGCGCGTTGCGAAAAACCGGAAGTTGGGTTTTTCACAGTTTTTCACAGCCACAAAACTCTCGGACCACCCCGCGTCCCACCCCCCGCCCGACCTTGTAAATGCAAAATAAAATAAATCAATATTTTTTTTTGACCTGATATAAAATTAATGATTTTTTGTTTATTCATCCCATGTTTACCTGTGAAAAATAGGCTAACTAAAACAGAATTATTACTGAATTTGAAAAAAAAAATGTACAAAGAAAAATTTTCAAACATTTTGGAAATTTCTATTTTTATTCTTTGGTTAAATGTTTAAATTGTAATGCCTACTCTAAAATGATTAAATCTGCCCCTGACAAATCTCCCCTCATATTAGTGATTAATTAATCTAAAGCTAAAACAGAAAGTAATAAAAAGTAAACTCCAGCTTAACATTTGGAAAAAAATAAAAAAGATATCAAAACCACCTAAGAAATTATATATTTTTTATAGTTGTTACTGTTGCTATGAATTTAGAATAAAAAAAATTAAGAACAGCCTATTTTTTTTCTTTACATAGTGATTATATTATACACTTCAGTATAATTCATACCGTATTTCGTTTTTCACAATACATATTTATCAAGAGTACACAGTATACACAAATTAAATTAGTTATGCTTTCCTTCTCAGTTTTGTCATCTGAAAATACTGACATGCACATAAACTGTCTACAAGTATACATGCAGGAATATTTCCCTATAAAACTATTCAAAAAAAACTTAAAGAAAGTATAAGCCAAAGAAACATAGATAAATATCCTAAATTAATCTGACTGGTTTTACTGGGACTTATTCCATACATATTGCTAGTAATTATGCAAGTTTTGAGGATTTTTTCTTTTTTACATTATTTTAATGCAAGAAAATTGTGTTATATCAATATGTTGGGAACTGTTCTCTATGACATCTGACGTCGGATTCTTTTTTGGGACGGACCAACCAGTACTTCCTGTTATTAAACGCTTTCTGCGTAGGGAAAAGAAGATAAACTGTGTGCGACATCTTTTAAATCTCCTCTTAGATACTGATTACTTAGATACTAATTACTTAATTACTTTTTACCCCGTCCTGTAGTGAGTCTCTCACGGTCAGAGGGCATGCCTCTGTCGGATCGATCGAGTTCTGACGGCGGCGGGGAGCCACGCAGTCCTCGGGCCCGTAGACCTCGGACCCGCTCCCGCAGTCGCCATCGCAGCGGCAGTCGCCATCGCAGCGACAGCCGCGACCGTAGCTTGTCTCCGGACAGCTTCGGACCCAAACTTCCTAAGCCACGCAACCGTGAGAGGGAGCGAGAGGAACGGGAGCGTCGATTCAAAGAGGCCAGAAACATTAGACGGATCCGCATAGGAAGTCCTCATCGTAGCCGCTCCAGGTCCAGATCCAGATCAAGATCAAGGTCCCGATCCAGAGAGCGCCATAACAACAACAACAACAGCCACAACCACAGCAACCACTGGTCCGAGCCTCCGGGAAAACACGGCGGCCTCAAAGATGATTATTACTACGAGCAGCAGAGGGACGACGCTCAGCGGCAGAGACAAGAGGCTTTTATCGCCAGGTATGAAAAGTCTAACATCACTGTGAAAAGCTATCAAAGCCTGAACCCTGCAATTCCCATAATACAAATCAGTCCTCAGGTACACGAGCCTATTGGTGCATTTTATGACGTGCCACCACTTCAGATGAACAGTCCTCTGGAGGTGGAGGGCTCGTCAATGCATCTGTTACCAAAAACCAAACGGATGGAAGCCGTCCTCTTTTGATTTGCTGCTAATCTAAGTGTAGTTTGACATTTCAGTTAAAAACACGTTTTTGCAAACTTGTGTTTTAGGCGCCTGCAGGAGAGGGAGAGGATCGGTGAGCTGGGTTGTCCTGAAGTTTGGGGATATTCACCCAGAGTGAAAGAGCCAGAGTAAGTGAGGAACATACTGTTAATTTTGTGTTGGGTTTGTGGAGACACATGTCTTTAAAACTGCATTTATTTGTAAAAGATTTTTTTTAATTAAAACTGTCTTAAATTCTGTGTGTCTTGGTCTTAGATGTTTTTAGTCTCATCACCGTAAGAGTTTCTGTTTCGCAATGACTTTGTTTTAACCAATTTTTCCACCTTTTAAATCTTACTTTTCCTGTTAAATTTTATTTAAGCAGTTATTTAAAAGGTCTTGATGTGTCATACCTGTTGGCGCCCTGGCAGAGACATCAGGCGTTGTTCTGTCTTATTTTCAGGTATCAAAAATTCTTTTCTGTATTTTTTTTTCACCTCCATCAGCTCCGATGAGTTCACACCAGTTGAAGAAGACGAGAAAAACAGCAGTTCAGAATCAAGCACAGAAGGTACACAGAGTGTGGACACACATAAATTACAGCAATCCAACATTTTCTGTGAATTTATAACAAACCCATTCTGTCTGTTATTATCAGAAGAGAAGAAGAAGAAAAAGAAAAAGAAGAAGAAGTCCAAGAAGAGAAAGAACAAAAAGCACTCAGAGGACAGTGAGCTTGAATCAGATTCGGATGGTAAGATGAACGAAAAGCACCCTTTTTTTGTTTTGTTTTTTCTCTAATCAGATTCATCAGTTTAACTGTCTTGTTTTTGTGTTTCAGAGGAAGAAATAAAGAAGAAGAAAAAGAAAAAGAAGAGCAAAAAGTAAGTTCTGATACGAAGCTGTGCATCAGCTCTGTTGACGTGGTAACAGCCCATTTGACTAACCAAGCATCCTGTTTCCCGTCAGGTCTAAGAAGTCCAAGAAGAAGAAGGCGAAGAAAAGCCGGAAGGAGTCCAGCAGCGACTCCAGCAGCGAGGCCTCAGAGGACGAAGAGGAGGAAGATCCCAATGGGGTGATGTGGGTGGAGAAAACCTCCATGGATGAGCATGTGGTCGGCCCCGAAGCTCCTCTCACTCACATGTCTCAGAACGATCGACCTTTGGAGTGAGTCACTGTTCGGGGTTAATTCCTGCATTAACAAACTTAAAGAGAAAAGCATCTAACCCTAATGTAGTTTGTGTTGAATTCCCAAACACAACTGCTGTTTACAGTGGAGTGTACCTGTACAGCACAGTACAGAAAACTGATTAAATGTCTGAAAACAGAAAAAATAACAGAGGTTACGTATTTTCAAACTTGCTTGCTAAACGGTGAGCTTGAAGACTGGGATTTTTTTTAAAAAAGTGATAGTAGAGTTGACTTTATTGAAGATTGCTGATAATTGATTGGGTCTTTCAGTTTTATTTAGGCTATAAAAAAAATAGAAATCACCGTGATTCAGTTTATCAGATGTGACAAAATAAGACAGACTCTGTTAAACATTTCCACCACACAACTTGTCTAAATCATTTGGCAGAATTTTTGATAAAAGCTTCTTTTTCTTTTTTTTCCTCCTTCCTCCAGTTTCGGTCACGCCCTGTTGCCAGGTGAAGGTGCTGCCATGGCAGAGTACGTGAAAGCTGGCAAACGTATCCCAAGAAGAGGAGAGATTGGTCTCACCAGCGATGAGATCGCAAACTTCGAGAAGTCTGGTTACGTCATGAGTGGCAGCAGGTACGTAATGTTTAGAAAATGGACATTTTTCATGAAAAATTAGGTCAGCTGACTGCCTGAATATACTGAACGATCAGGTTTTTCTATCAACAGATATTCCACGATCTGCATTACATCTTATCTTTTACAGAAACATACTTGTTTTTCCCCGAGGGGAAAAAGAGCTGATTGCTTTAAATGTTGTTTAATTTCTTTACTAATCTCTGCACATTGTAACATTTGCTTTAGCTTGTGCTCTAGGCTGGGTTGAGTTGAGCAGATCCAGAAGCGTGTTCAGCTTTTCTTCCTGTAATACTGACAAATTTTTCGCCCCGCAGACATCGTCGTATGGAGGCCGTGCGTCTGAGAAAGGAAAACCAGATCTACAGCGCAGACGAAAAGCGAGCCCTGGCATCGTTCAACCAGGAGGAGAGGAGAAAGAGAGAGAGCAAGATCCTGTCGAGCTTCAGGGAGATGGTGTACAGGAAAACCAAAGGCAAGGAGGAGAAGTGAACGACCAGTTTGTCTCCTGTTATTGGAACCTTTACTCTTTGTTTGGTGACCTGAGGTGTAAAGCTTTTTTTTCCCTCTCAGTTTGAACTGAGTGTACAGTGCAGAAGTGTTTTAACTGTAAAAATTGTGTCTGAGAAGTTTTCAGTTGTATTCTCCTTCCCTTTTCTATCCATCTCTTGTAAATCTTTTCAAATGCTCCCAACAAGAATGTTAAATAAATTTTCACTATCATATCTTGTTGCCATTTTAATATTTCTTTCTGTTTTTGCCGGGAGTTCTACTATAAGTGATAAATGCATCAAGAGTAGAAAACAATTTAGGAAAAAAAGAGCAGTTTGTAGTATTATTGTTTTTTAAAGTGCAGGAGGTCCTCAGACTGAGTGAACCACTTAAATAAGGCCTTTTTCTTTTAAAACTAAGTAACTGATCTTTTTTTTTGTGAAGAGTTAATTGTAGCATATTTAAGAAAGCTTGGCAACAATGTTACCTTCAAACTCTGAATATTTAAAATAAACATTTGCCAGTATTTTTGAGCAAATATCTGAGCAAATAGCTTCTTAAGAACAGAAAGGAACCACGTGAAAATTTCAGTACTTAAAAAAAAAGTTTGAGCTGTGTTGTAAAGTACAGCCAAATCAATTTTACAGCCACTCCAAGACCACAGTCTAAAGCAAAAGTCTGCTTCTTTGTTCCAAGCATTTTCTTTTTCATTTCAAAATATGTATCAGATATATACTGCCGGGCCAAAAAAAAAATCACTTAAACGTTTAAACGTTTGATGAAATCAAATCAAAGAAAAACAACAGTAGAACTCAGGGCTATGTTTAATAGCATTTCCACACGCACAATGCGAAGAGAACTCAAGGGATTGGGACTGAACAGCTGTGTAGCCATAAGAAAGCCACTAGTCAGGCAAACTGGAAAAAAGGGTTTCAATTTGCGCGGGAGCATAAAGATTGGACTCTGGAGCAAAGGAAGAAGGTCACATGGTCTGATGAGTCCAGATTTATCCTGTTCCAGAGTGATGGGTGCGTCAGGGTGAGAAGAGAGGCAGATGAAGTGATGCACCCATCATGCCTAGTGCCTACTGTACAAGCCTGTGGGGGCAGTGTTTGGTCTGGGGTTGCTTCGGTTGGTCATACAGCAGCAGTATGTTCTCCAAGAATGAGGTCAGCTGACTACCTGACTATACTGAATGACCAGGATATTCCATCAATGGTTTTTTTCTTCCCTGATGGCACGGGGATATTCCAAGATGACAATGCCGGGATTCATCTGGCTTGAATTGTGAATTAGTGGTTCTGGGAGCATGAGACATCATTTTCACACATGGATTGGCCACTCCAAACCTTAACCTCCTTGAGAATCTTTGGGATGTGCTGGAGAAGGGTTAGCGCAGCAGTCACAATCTACCATCATCAATGCAAGTTCTTGGTGAAAAATGAATGCAAAACTGGATGGAAATAAATCTTGTGACATTGCAGAAGCTTATCAAAACAATGCCACAGCGAATGCAATTGTTTCAGCTTCTTTAACGTCATTATAGTACATCAGTGGTCAATGTACATTTACTTCATCTGTTTTTTAAAACCTTTATTTACGAGTTGAAAGTCTTGTGACTTCTAAGATGTTTTTCACTTGTGCAATTTCTAAAAATTGCTAATACAGAATTATTGTATTTTTTTTCTTACAGGGGATTTTTTTCCCACAGCGTTTCATTATTGCTTGTTTATATGAACATTTTTGTAAGCACAAGGAGGACAGTAATAGAAGTTTTTTTTAAAAACATATTTGTAAAAAACTGAAAGACATAATTGAACTGTATTGAAAAAAATGTATGGATTAAGATCACGTCTTTTTGTTTTGTTTAACAGTTATTTGTTGAAGCCACTCAGAACAATAAAGTTAGTTACAGTTAATGTGATGCTGCAGGAATTGTATTACAGCTAAATGATAACAGCAGGTACTGTTATACATCTCAAGTCCAGTAAACCTGTCAACATTTAAGCAGATATAAAAAAATAAATAAATAATAGTAACTGCACTCCTCCTTCTGTTACTGGTAGAAATCAATATAAGAAGCCTCACAAGATTCCCAGTGTGTGGAAGAGTTTAATCACCCATCTTAAAAGACTGAAAAACACAAACAACTGAATGTTAAATATAATCTTTTAATGTACAACAAAGAACTTTCTTCTCCCGGGTCTCTCCGGGTTCCTCGTCAGTGGATGTTCTCAAGTCCCTGGTGAGAAAAAGAGAAACAAATAAGGATTAAACGTAGTTATACATGAGCAGCCATTGTGTTCATTTAAGCTAATAACTCATTTTGTGGACTTTTTAAGTCTCCTTTTATGCTCTACACATGACTAACACCCCCATCGCTGCCTGTAAATCCTCAGTATTTTACAAAGTTGATGGATTTTGGTGATACCTGATGACCGAGAACAAAGAAGACCACCGTGTGGTACTATATGAGGCTATAGTATGGCATCTGGTTATTTAGCAGAGAGCATATGGGATGATCAGTTTGCATAATTATATAGTTTAGGTTAAAGTATCATTATAGGAGACAATTGGATAAAAATTATTTCTGTGATGAAGTTATAGCCATTTGAAAACGCACCTATGTATAGATGCACCCCAGATCCTGCAAATGTGCTACCAAGAGTGCCTCCATGAAACGACTAACTGAAACAAACCTAGGGTTTTGAAAGTGCACCGTATTTGCACATACTGTTTTTTATGAAACTGTGCACACTACTGTCGGGTAGTTTAAGCGATTTTTATATTTATATGCAGTTGTAGTCTCAGGGGAAGGCTGTAAGTTGCACACTTTGCTATTCATTAGCATTACTTATTATGGGCAGAGGGAAGCTAACCTTGGAGTCAAAGTAGCGTCCGGTTCCTGACACTCGCTTGTCTCTGTCCATGAGATACCACTGCCACGGAACCCGAGCAATCCTTTTCTCCTGCGGGGGAAAAACACACTCTTTATAATCCAGCAGTCTGGTACAAAACACGAGAACCTGCTGGCAGCGCCTGCGTCCTCACCTTTCCTCCGTTAGTGAACTTGTGGATCTGCGCGGTGGCGACACCGGGGATGATCAGACACACGGTCATGATGCCGAGTCCGGGCAGAATTTCATACCACATGATTACAGCGTCTAACTGTCAGGGGACAAAGAGCAACTTCGAGGACAACAAAGTTGCCCCAAACCTACCTAACGCTGTTTATTTATCCCAGAAAGTAGCAAAATGTCGACCGTCAGCACGACCTACGTTCCTCTTCCAGGACAAGACAATAACTTCCTGTTGAAGAATTTCAAGATAAAATACTTCAATTCAACAATTCATTTTGATCGTAAATTTAAATCGATGATTACTTGATTAAATTATCCTTTTACTGTCAAAAGACGAAACCGATCGGACATGGATATGTTGGGAGGAAAAATAGTGGTAAAAATTCTATAATAATTCAAATTATATGTTAATTGTTTTTTATGGACACTTGTCATTGGAAAAAAAAAACGTACAAATGTTTGTTTAGCTATTTATAGGTCAACGTTTCGCTATTTCTTTATTATCTCAAAAATTTTAGTTTAGAGTTAGTCTGTCTCCCCCCCGCCCCAAAAAAAAATCGACTTAAAAGCACGAAATTTTTAATTATGCACTCTTTTTAAAAAATCCTGATTTATTTAATTTCCTTTCGTTCGTTTGTTTTTTTTTTTTTTTTTGTTTTTTTTTTTTTGTCTAGAAATCCCCAAACACGACGTTGTTAAAACAAACAAACAAACAAACAAAAAACCCACGAACTCAACCGTGTGAGCTTTTAAATTGAAGTGTATCTGAAAGGCGGAAGCTCTTTTTGGCTCATGCTAGCATTATTTCTTTCTAACATCATTAACTAACCTTTCCGAATAATTCCTTTCAGGGACAAACTAATTAAGAATGTAAATAAAACAACACAAAATATATTTTAGTTATTAAATTAATTGCCTAGGCACAATTGAGTTCATGTGCAGCGCCCCACTCCGGCGCTGATACTGAAGCGCAGCGCTAACCGTCAGTGAGGAAGTTCTAGTTACTTCGTTCACTAGCAGAGGCTAACTCGCTGAAAGGTAAACAAGTCAGCTGAATGAGATGAGACCCAAGTCCCGGATTAAGTAAAGTTTGCCGCAATGAAGGAAGACAAAGAAAACAATCGACCGAAGGAGAAAAGGGTGGAGATAAAGTGTGAAGATGGAGAAAAGACGGAGAAGTCCAAGGAAAAGAAGGAGGCCATGACAAAGGTAAAACTTGCTAGCTGCGTTAGCTCATGTTGCTATAAACCGCCAGGTTGATAAAATTGCAATATTTTTATGTTGTAGTGTTTTATCATCTTTCACGTGTATAATGATACAGTGCGCGTGAACTTAAGAAATCTGTTTATCAGCCCCAACTTTGTTCTCCGGACAATAACTTCACCTATGATTAAAAAAAAAATAGATTGTGATCAGACGACTACCACCAAGTCTCACCAAAGAGGAGCTGGAGGAGCAACTGCAACCGCTCCCAGAGGTGGACTATTTGGAGTTCTTCTCTAACGACACGAGGTGAGTTTATCTGTAAAGATTCCCTCACTGTTAACAAAAGATAAATATACTCGTATATGTGTGACACATGTGTTTTCCTCTTTCAGCCTTTACCCTCACCTCTTTGCAAGGGCTTATATCAACTTCAGAAACCAAGAGGATATAGTCCTCTTCAGAGATCGCTTTGATGGATATGTATTCATTGACAGCAGAGGTAACAACACCCAGCACGCCCATGCGGGCGGTTTATCCTTCAAGCTCGGGTCCTCTACCAGAGGCCTGGAAGCTTTTATATATATATATATATATATATATATATATATATATATATAGGGAAGAAGTTACTAAACTGATTTAAAGATTTCCGTAGGAAGGACCCGAAGTTTCATCTTTTTCCACATGATGTTTACGAACAGGTCAGGAGTATCCTGCCATTGTGGAGTTTTCACCTTTTCAAAAAACTGCCAAGAAAAGAAGTAAAAAAAAGGATGCAAAGTGTGGAACAATTGTTGAAGGTAAATATATTCACCCCTTGATAAATACAATTCATCTACTGTAAAACAGCATGTCAGAAAATAAGGAAAAGCATTATAGGTCCACTTTAAGTGCAATTTAGGAACACATATAAAGATACAGAAAAAGTAGTCTTGCTATAATCATTAATGTGTTTATTTGTGTTTCATTTGACTTTAAGATCCAGATTACAAAAGGTTCCTTGAATATTACAACGGGGACGACGAGAAGCTAACGTCTACACCTGAGATCCTGTTGGAGGAGATTGAGGCTAAATCAAAGGAACTCGTTGGTATGTTTCGCAGTCAAATACTGATAGTTTTCAAACAAACGCACTGCAGAATGAATAATTTTTATCATTTCCTTTGTTCAAGCTAAAAAAACAACTCCTCTGCTGGACTTCCTGAAGAATAAACAGGTAAATAAGTTCAGGTCGAGATGTGTATACATTGCTGAAGGCTGGCCTCACACATTTTGTTTTAATGTTCTTCAGAGACTCAGGGAGGAGAAGAAAGAAGAGCGAAGGAGGAGGGAACTCGAGCGCAAACGTCTGCGCGATGAGGAGCGTCGTAAGTGGAGGGAGGAGGAGAGGAGGAAACGCAAAGAGGCAGAGAAGATGAAGAAGCTCGAGAAACCGCTGGAGAAGGACAAAGACCAAGCTAAAGACGAGCCAAAGATAAAGGTGTGTGTGTGCAGTAGTTGAAAGAATAAGCTCAAAACTGTGTCCAACTTTCAGTACTTGATGCGTGTTTACTTTTTCTGTTGTAGCTCCTGAAGAAGCCAGAGAGAGGAGATGAAGGCAACCCGGAGAAGCCAAAAGAGAAGTCCAAGAAGCCAGAGAAGCCAAATAAAGAGGACAGATCTTTGGGAGGTTCTGATCATAAGAGACGTCAGAACATCGAGCACAAGGAGGATCGAGGAAGGAAGTTAGTTCATCACTCTTCTTTTAATTGTCCAAATACATTAACCTTCAACCCTCAAGTGAACAAGCTATTTTAGGTTGACCCCATTATATTTAATACCGGAATGATGTTAATGCCAGAGGAGGTTTGAGCTCTGTGGGTATTGAGCCAACAAAACATTGTTGACACTCTACTAGCCTCAGCTCTCTCTGACTTCACCTGATCTCTCTTTGTGGTTGAGTTGATGTGGTTATTTAATACTTCCACTCTGCAATAGCACTGCTTACAGTTGATTGTGGAAAATGTAGGAGTTCCACAGGAAGACTGTTGTTGTTATGTGTGTTGGTTGTTTGTTTGTTTGTTTGTTTGTTTGTTTTTTTTAAATAAATGTTTGTAAAGGCAGACTACATGGATTGCTACTTGATTTTAATTAAGAGGTGGCTCAATACTTACTTTCATATAATGAAAATGGTCCCTTATAGGTTCAGTCAAGCTTGTGCTTTTCCCACAGAGGGGACGAAGATGGGCGGAAGGAGTTTAGGGAGCGTGACACGGATCGAGACAGAGACCGAGAGCGCGAGAAGGAGCGTCGGCAGAAAGAGAGGGAACGCTTCAAGCGACAGGATGAGGAACGTCGGAGAAGAAGGGAACATCAGGATGGAGATAACTCCTTCAAGAAGCGGGAGGAGGAGGTTAAAAAAGATAAACCCTTGGAGAAGAAGAAGGGTGAAAACATGCCAGACTCCCCACACAGTGAGAAGCCAGAGAAGCCTGCTAAGGACAACAAGAAGGAGGACGGTGGGAAAAGAGAGCGGCTACGGAATAAGGTAACTGCCCGTAGGTCTTAAATCATCACACGATTTCATCCAGTTGTGTTTCTGAGCCTGTTCTTTGTCTGTATCAGGACCGGCCTGCTATTCAGCTGTACCAGCCAGGTGCAAGAAGCCGCAACCGTGCTGCAGGAGGAGGAGCTGAATCCAACTCTGCTGACAGAAAGCCAGATACCGAGGCTAGGAAAGTGGCTGAGAAAGAAGACGACTGAGCAGATTTCTACCTGCAGCATTTTTACGTTTGGCGAAGAGAGAGGAGACAGGCCTGTGGGGCTCAGAGCAGCAGAGTGGCATCTGGAGGCCACGTGCAGCACAGCATCAGGGTCTCCCAGTCTCAGAGGCAGAGGTGTGATTGTGGAGCCTGTTAGTGCCTAAATGTGACCCTGTTTAGTTTTGTTTGATCAAAGAGGTAAACTTTGGAAAGAGTTTGGCTGTAGGGCACATTAGTGAAGCCAAAGCTTTCTTGGACCACATAAACTCAAAGTGACCTTACTTCAGTAGCGTTTCTCTGATGGAAAATGTGTGGTAGGCGCTGAAAACTTTAGCTTTCAACTTGTCTTTCATCTAAAACTCACTCAAACTTTCCAATCAGTCAGTATTTCTACATTGCAGAGCTCTACAGCATAGTTTCTACACTCCTTAATGATTTTCCTTTTGTAGCATTGGCACTTTCAGTTTGAAGTGTACACATAAAAATGACACCTTTGGCTCAATCCCAGCGTCCATGCTCACAAACCTTTGAGTTGTGCTTGTGTTAAATGTGTGAGGGCTACACGTTTTAACTCCTCCATGCACACCATCCTTAAGCCCAGTTTCTCCAGACTTTACCTTAGGGAACTATTCACAGTTCACAGGAAAAGCCAGCAAGTGAGAGGAGCAGCCACCCAAGAAGTCAACGCAATGCACTATATGCCTTATTACACTTTTTTAAAACGTATTATATTTCGACTAAATCAAGTAAATCCATTATATGACAGGTCGCTCTTGTCTCCTCTGTTAGATGGGAGCCTGGAACACAACAGATCAGACAGACCCTAGGCCACAATAATAGAAAACCTATTCTGGCTTTAAGGTTCCTGTTTATACCATTTTGATCCATGTTATACTCGCACACTCACATTACTGCTTTGAGGGTTTCATGTTTAGGGCATAGGGTTTGGCTTTACTCTGCTTGGATAGCCGTACAATTCATATATAACATGAACTGGCAGATATAATCTGCGCTTCTGTTATCTGGGATCAACTGTTTTCATTTCATTCAGTCAGTGACAAAGGAGAAACAGCCATTTTGACTAGACTGGCATGTAAAATTGGAGCTGACTCGACCAATCTGTGGCCTTTCCTCTTTTTCTAATCTCAAACTGTCCTTAAAACATTCATCTGCGATGCTCTAATCTGAATGCAGCATGGAAACATATCACTGCTGGTGATGCTAACATACTGTAGCCTCTTTTGACTACTAATAAAAGAGATCGTCACTAAAGTCTGAGTATCTTTTTTTTTTTTTAAGGTATGACGTGATCCAGTATCTGGATTGTTGATCAGTCATAAGTGGGGGGAAAAGCTAACAACCTAGCAAATACTTTGATGTTGAGCTGTGTCTTTAGCTTGTGTGCAGTAGAAAGAGACGCCACACTTAGTCCTTTGAACTAAAGAAATAAACAATTGTCCATCAAAAGAAGTGTAAGAATGTTAATAAGGAACTCACGACCTTGTGCTTGGATATTACAGAATCAGCATAACTCAGTACAAAGTAAAATATTCACATTATAAACTCGTGGTAATGACACAGTTTACATGCAGATCTATCCCAGATTATTGTCTGCAGACAAAACAAAAGTAAGAATAAACAAAAGCCTTTTTTGGGGGGGTTATTATTTCGTTTATCCTGCAGGTTGGACCTGGAACATAACGACACGGTTTGCCGTGAAACATTTAAATGAAATAGATTTGCATGAAAAAAAAAAAGTAGGTGTGCTTGGACTTTGCTGTGGACATCAGCAGCAGGAAGCAAGGATAAAAGCGAAGCAGCAGCACTTGGAGGTAATGCTACAGCAGCAGTTTTTCTTTGGGTGTTTCTTTTTTTTAAAGCTGAACTTCAAACTGTGGGTTAGTGATGTGACATGACTGAAAGGCTCAGGTGAGAATGTGCTTCGGCTTCTTTCCTTCTTCCGTTCATGTTCACTTCAGCCAGAGAGGTGCTACTATGCACGGTGTACGAACCAGAAGGAAGTTGGCTCGGTGTTCGGAAGCTATTGTTACACTTACAGCAGCATAATGTGTTGTTTCCAGCTGGATTCATATTATTTCAGCTCACCTGTCTGGTATCGGAGCTTCATATGAGGTGTGTGAAAAGGGGCGGAAAAAGGAGAAAGTAGTGCGCCTATAAATGAGCCTGCAGGAGCCCAGGGACTCTGAAATAAAACCAGACTAGTGCAGTTCAAATGGATAGATAACAACGATCCATTCTGTAGTGTTACACTGCATTTATCTCGTTTTCTTTGTTTATCTTATTTTTCTTCATGATTATTACCAGATGGATGCAGGTGAAGGCAAAATTACAACCTTTAAATGGGATAAGGAGGATTTGAAAAGTCAAAAAAGAACAACAAAGAGCCAAGGTGCTCCCAACCTGTGGAAAAAATGTCACGGCATCAGCGGTTATGTTAGAGACATGACTGTCAAGACTGCTTTGGTGCTCTTTCAAACAGGTGGTGTTGTCATTGTGCCATTGAACAAATGCTCATTCAATGGGGCAGCTCAGTTGGAACTGAGAATTTTTCACCAGTAAATGAGGCAAAGCGGCAGTTGGATGCAGAGACAACAGGGAGGGCAGAGAAAACTTAGAGGATTTATATCACAGTGAAGGAGAAGTCAGAAGTTTGCTTCGTTCATTGTGGTCATGAATGTCAAGGTAATTTGGGGCTTTTTGTTATTTCTTGAGCTGTTTCTTTTTCCAGGGTGGAATGATTGTACAGCATACGACTTTAATAACTTAAAAACAGGAATTGGGATTTTCTCTAATCCACACACAGTAACAACTATATGGTATACACAGGATCAATGATGTAGATACACTCAAATCTTTTAATGATACTAGTAATAACTGGTAGTTTCTGTTTGCCAGCATAAAGCGGATTTATTTGACATCTTGATGCATACTCAATCATCCAGGTAAGTAAATCTCCAAAAGTTGATTCTGTTCATCTGGACTTTTGGAGATTTATTTGACAGCACTCACTGGGTGGACCAATACTCAGGACAATTAAAAAGTTCAAAGAACTCAGTGAATATCTAAAAAGGAGAAATGTAGGTTTGCACAAATTGGGAATATGTCTTGGAATAATTTCTAAACAACTACAGTCAAGTTTTACATCTACATCCTGCTCCAAAAATCGACACGTTCAAGTTTGACCTAAAATTTGGAGCTGCCCACGTGGAAAAGCCAAATGCCTTCCGGAGAAAAGTTTTTTTCATGGTCAGACGAGACCAAGATTTGACTATTTGGCCACAGTAACAAGAAATACGTTCAGAGGAGTAAAGGTGATGTTTTCAAACCTGCTTAACAGCAGCTGTACCAAATGTGAATCATGGTGGTGGTAGCATCATGCTCTGGGGCTGTTTTGCTTCCAGTGATACTGGTACATTGCACAAAGTGGATGGAATAATGGAGGAGAGGACTACTTATTTTTCAACTTCGCCTCAAATCAACAGCTACATGGTTGAAACTTGAATACAGCAGGGTGCTCCAAGAGGGCAATGATTCTAAACACACATCAATATTTGTTTTGAAATGGAAAAATCAGGATAACATTAAGCTTCTGGGCCTCAGCTCTATTGAAAATTTGTGGACTATGCTTAAAAGCCAGGAAACCAAACAATTTAAGTGAACTCTATCAATTCTCCTAAGAAGAGTAATCAAATGTCCAGCCAGAATAATGCCAGAAGCATCTGCTCGAGATGCAACTTGCTAAGGGACATTTAACTTAATATTGCATACTTCAGGATTAATGAAAATCCAAAATAAATTCAAACCCGTGCACCCAGTTCTTGTTTTTAAGATCATTAAAGATGCTGTACAATGTTTTTACCTTGGAAACAGATCAAGAAATCATTAAAAGCTCAAATTACCATGACATTCACAATGACTTCCACTGTAGCATAGCAAAATAAATAAAAATATAAATAAAACTCCTTTTCTCCACTTGTAGTTATGCTCCTACTTCTGTTTTTTTCTGTTTCTTCTCTAAAATTCATCTTAGGATTTGGTGAGTGACAAGCATCTGTATTATGTTGTCTGTGGTTTACTGAGTATGGACACCTGAGGCCAGCACTATGGCTTCACTGAGGCTAACAACAGCAATCAGGCTAAGCGATGACACAAAGGCAGTCATCAACTCCCAATCTCACAATGACGCTTTCACATGAAAGAGGCGGTGATGGTGGAATATGACCAAACACAAACAGGGACGTGTCTGCTGGCAGCATTGCGGCTCATATTACAAAAGGAAATACAACTTTTATCTTTGAAAATTTTTAAGAGGTTAAACACAGTGCAGGTTGGAAGCATGTAGCATGTCTATCCAAGCGGAAGCCAGGAAGAAAAACTGAAGAAAAAAAATGCCATTAAAACAACAGTGAATCTGGCAAATTAGAATAAGTGAAGAATGGATCAACCATCCAGTGCACAACAGAGGTGTGGAAGAGGGTGGAGCCAGGGTGGAATAGATGGAGACAGGTGTCAGGGTTCATTTCTGTTAGCAGGATCACAGCAAGAGTGAAAGGGAAGGTTTACAAGGTGGAAGTGAAACCTGCAAAGCTGGAGGTGACCGAGTTGAAGATTTTCACTGGGAGTGACAAGGATGGACAAGATTAGAAATGAGTACATCAGAGGGACAGCTCGGGTCAGGCTATTTGGAGACAAAGTTAGTGAGGCAAGTCTGAGATTGTTTGGACATGTGCAGAGGAGGGATAGTGGATATACTGGACATGGAATCTTGAATGTGGAGGTGCCAGGCAGAAGGAAACATGGGAGACCACAGACAAGATTTGTGGATGTAGTGAGTGAATGATCTTTCTGAAGAGCTGGCCAGGTGGCAGAGATTCAACCACAGAATGGGGTGTGTACTGTCCTTAGTGATACTGTCTGCTTGCCTTTTCTCTCCATGATGATGGCACAGATTGAGTCCAGATGTGGGAGCTTCATCTCAACAATGTGCTTTGCCATTTTCACCACTTGGTGAAGATCTTTCAGAAGTGCAGATGGCATACCACACTGGTTCACCATTTATCAGGATGGATTCCAGTGTACTCCTGTTAGAAGTTCAGTTTCTGAGGAGGCCTGGCCTGCTGAGGAGTATGCTAGGAATAAGATGAGACGGAGGCAGATGAGCTACCATGGCAACCCCTACAGAGACCATATGAAAGAAGAAGAAGAAGAAGAAGAAGAAGAAGGTCAAGTAATGACTAAAACCTAGACTTTAGGATTTTAAAGCAGGTACTCTGCTTTAAAATCATATATTGCAATTTTATAGGGAAAAAAGTTAAAAACTGGAAAGTATATCAGAAATACATTAACTCCTGTGATTTTGTGTTTCTTGATCAATTCAGCTATGGTGCTCAAAGACTTTAGATGCTTTAGATGCTCTGTGACCATATTGGTGTGAAGTGACTACCGGGTAAAACTAAAAAAAACTGAAGTCAGTTATCCTGTTTTTTAGTTCAAGGCTCCGGCTCTGTGTGAACTATCTCTTGAATGAAAGGCAAACCGTTAAAACTATGACATGTACTTCCTCTAATGACACGTTGGTGTCGCTGTTTGTAGGACGTGGAACAGTTTTTTGGACGCTTATTGGTCAAAAAGCCGTGGCGTCACTTCTCTCGTTCTTTTCGACCACCGCCATAGTGGGGAAAGGACTGTGGAGAAAATGGTAAATAGAAAATCTACAAACATCCGAGCTAGCATGGCTTATTAAAGTTCCCCGAAACCTTAAGCATTTAAAACTAAAATTATTGTCACGATAACAATGTGTATGTTATACGAGAAAAATGAGATGGAGCATATTAAAAGTGCTCAGTGATGCTACCCGGCACGGTGGTTCTGCGCATGCTAGCGGCCAGCTTGTTTATTTTAGCACTGAAAGCTTTAAAAAATTAGTTTTAAACCAGAAGCATTTGGTTAAAGATGTATATACTTGGTGTTTTAAACGATTGTGCTAATACGGTGTCTTTTACGTCTTCCAGTCGTCCCACAAGACTTTCAGAATCAAGCGCTTCCTCGCCAAGAAGCAGAAACAGAACAGGCCGATTCCTCAGTGGATCAGAATGAAGACCGGCAACAAGATCAGGTGAGCTTACCATGACTGATTTTACCTGCCCTGTGCATCTTGTAAGGCCGAGAGCTGACGGTATACGGGTTCCCACATTTGTACACGTTATTGTAGTCATGCAATCCACCTCTGTTCAGTGCTGCAGGCTTATGAG